CAAGTGCGACTGCCGGGCAAGGGGTCTCGGGTTCGATTCCCGGGTCGGGCAAAGTATTACTGGGTTTTTATAAAAAAAACATCGCAACACTAGCACGGAGTCTGGAATTGTACCCGGTATATGGCAATAGGCTCACCCCCTTATACATGGGACTCATAACATAAATAGTGAAAAGTGAGTATTACTTCTGTGTGCACCTCTGCCTACCCATTTGGGGAGATAAGGCGTGATGTTATGTAGGTTGTATTTGTACTTACTAAAATTTATTCTAGTGTACCTAAAGTGCAACTAACAACCTCGTATCCACTAGGTAACACTTTGCAAGCGACATGCCATCATCATGTTGGAAATCAGCGAGGATCTCTTGTTAAACCACATCGTCTGTCTACTCATGATAGGGTAGATGCCTAATTTTTATTCAAATGTCCGTCTGGTAGATTATTTTAAATCATTAGACACGTATTTTTCATTTTCTTACAGAATCGAATACTTTCGACGATATACTGATTTGAAATGTCGCGTGACGTCACTTCTATGTATATTTTATACGTAGAAATGACGTTTTAACCCCTACTCTTAAACTTTGATTCGTTATATCTAAGTACATATTGTTTTATTATACGACAAAATAAAAAAATACGTGTCTAATATTTTTTTCATTGCCTCGCTTACGGACTGATTATATTTTTAATTTTCATACCCTGTCATCATCCCAATTGTGCCAGCAGCATTAGTCGACAATATATTATTATTGCAGAGTCAAAACACTGGCACAGTGTAAAATGGTGGTGTGAAATGACCAACACTACGATTTTACATTTTATTAAAATGTACAAAAAGGACATTCACCTACAATTCGTTATATTAATTGGCCCCATGCGTCGGCCGAATTCAGGGACATTTTATAATTCATAAGTGTAGGAGAGCCATGCTTCGGCACGAAATGGGTGGCTCGACCGGAGTGATACCACGGCCGAGCAGAAAACAGACGTGAGTGAAACAACGCTTGCGTTGTGTTTCGTCGTGTGAGTGATGGTACCGGAGGCCCAAGGGGGGTAACCCCCTCCCTAGTCCCCGTCTCCCGAATCCCCGAATCCTCCACAATCCTCAAAATCCTAATCCCAAAAGGCCGGTAGCGTACTTGTAACGCTTTAGTGTTTCGAGTGTCCATGGGCGACGCCGATTGCTTACCATCAGTTGATCCGTCCGCTCATTTACTGGCATAAGCTATAAAAAAAAATCACTACATTGCCCCAATGTAGAAGCCGCCTCTGAACGTTACACGTTCGAATAAGTACAACAAGTTAAATAATACAACGAAGTCACATTAACTTTTATTAGGTACACAATAATCAAATTGAACAAAACCTTATTTACATAACTACTCCATAATAATAATAATTTTGTTTCGTTTAATTAATTACATACATTTTTTTAACTAAATAAAGATTATTTTACATAACATCATAACATCACGCATTTATCCTCGAAGGGGTAGGCAGAGGTGCACATTATGCCACTGTACAATGTAACACCCACTTTTCACTATTTATCTTATGAGACCCATGTAATAGGGGTGAGCCTATTGCCATATATATTTTTTTAATATACCGGGCACAATTCCAGACTCCGTGCTACCACTCAGATTTTTTTTACAAACCCAGCGATACATTGCCCGACCCGGGAATCGAACCTGAGACCCCTTGCCCGATTATTTTTTAAATTATTTTACTAAAACTCTTATTATTTTTTTTTTGGAAATGAGCCTAACGCTCGAATACTTCACTGCGAGGACCGCCCTGAGGACACGGTGGAACACACTGTAGCGGAATGCCCTGCGTGGGCTGAGCACCGCCGTGCCCTCAGGGAAGTGATCGGCGATGGCGACCTCTCGCGTCCGGGCCTAGTGCAGGCCATGATGCGGAGCGAGGGGGACTGGGATGCCGTCTCCTCCTTTTGCGAAGCAGTCATGCTAGCTAAGGAGGAGGCAGGACGCGTGAGGCAGCGAAGAGCTGCCTCCTCGCAATCTCCTCAGTTTCAAAGCACCCCCCTAACTGCCTCAGCCGGTATTGGAATACTTGGTGTTAGCATTTCGAGCGACGTCCAGTTTCGCGGTCATCTAGAGGATAAGGCCAAATTAGCCTCGAGGAAGCTTGGTGTGCTCAACAGATCGAGGCAGTATTTCACCCCGGCCCACCGCCTGCTTCTATATAAGGCACAGGTGCGGCCCCACATGGAATACTGTTCTCATCTTTGGGCGGGGGCACCCCAGTACCAGCTTCTTCCTCTGGACCGCGTTCAGCGGCGTGACGTTCGGATTGTTGGATGTCGGGATGTTTCAAACCAGCTAGACTCTTTGGTAATGCGTAGAGATGTAGCCTCGTTGTGCATTTTCTATCGCTTATACCACGGGGAGTGCTCTGAGGAATTGTTTGACCTGATACCTGCCGCATCTTTTCGCCATCGAGAAAAAAAACTGTGTAATGATCTGTCGTCGGCGGTATTTCCGAACCGATACGACCTTCAAACCTTCAAGAAAAGAGCGTATTCTTTTTTAAAAGGCCGGCAACGCACCTGTGACTCCTCTGGTGTTGCGGGTGTCCATGGGCGGCGCTGATCGCTTACCATCAGGTGATCCGTCTGCTCGTTTGCCTTCTATTCCATAAAAAAATAAAGCAATGTAATTGTTAGTTAAAACTTCATTGTTTTAATGGATTCGCGGGTAATTAAAGGTTTTTGGGGAGTTATTATTACACACTACTGGTAATACAGAAACGGGCTGTCTTATCGACATTACGCGTTTTTTTTATGGCATAAGCCGGTAAACGAGCGAACGGATCGCCTGATGGTAAGCAATCGGCGTCGCCCATAGACACCCGGAACACCAGAGGCGTTACAAGTGCGTTACCGGCCTTTTGGGGATTAGGAGTTTGAGGATCGTTGGGGATTCAGGAATTGAGGAGATTGGGGAAGGGGAGGGTAATTGGGCCTCTGGTAACCTCACTCACATGACGAAACACAACGCAAGCGTTGCTTCACGTCGGTTTTTTGCTTGGCCGTGGTATCACTCCGGTAGAGCCGGCCCAGCAGTGCCGAAGCATGGTTTTCCCACACTTCGTCATCTCCCACAGTTTGTCAAGTATCGTTAACCTTGTTTAACACATAAGCCTGTCTCGCTCACATCACATCAACAGCCTATAAGTGCCCACTGCTTACCAAAGGCCTCTTCTCACACGGAGAAGGTTTGAGCATTAACCACCACGCTTGCTCAATGCGGGTTGGCGATTCCAAACTAATAAGTCCAGGTTTCCTCACGATGTTTTCCTTCACCGTTTGTCAGTGGTGTCTAAATAATCTTAGAAAGTACATATAACTCGGGAAAAGTCACATTGGTACTTGCTGTTGTAGGTTTCGAACCCGCACCCTCATGCATGAGAAGCGGGCGTCTTAGACCTCCAGGCCACTACGATATGTCTCGATCAGTGCCAGTGTAACTGTGGGCGTCGCGGAGAACCTAACGGGTAACCGGGGCTCCGGCTCGACGTGCAGGAGAAGGAACGGGGTGGTTTTTAGTCAGTAAGAGTCTGACACTCCCTCCCGCCTCACTCAGGCGGGAGCAGTCATTCGATGATTTTCCCCCCTTAAAAAAAAAGTGTAACTGTGGTTCGCAAACATTTGTGGCGTCTACTATTAAATTTGTCTATTATCAAGGCAATTTTCTATGATATAGAATTTCCCCATGTACCTAATAGGGGGTGACCCTATTCCCATATTCCGAGCACAATTCCAGACTCCGTGCTATAATGAGATTTTTTAAAAAACCTCGTAATCGCCCGACCCGGGAATCGAACTCGAGACCCCTTGCCTGGCAGTCGCACTTGGGGCCTGCCAGGTCGCGTAGAAATTATTAAATAAAAAAATAATTAAAGAAAGTCATTAGAATTGGTATCCTATATATTTACACAGATATAGTTGTTTATGTTGTTGAAATTTTGGTAAATTAATAAATTTGGAACAGGGGTATATTTGGCCTGGAATACCACATAGGCTATTTTTTATCCGCAGGGAACGCGGGCGCAGCCGCTGGCAGAAGGTAGTATACAACATAACATCCACTTTTCATTACTTATAATCAGTGATCGGAAAAAGGTGAGCTAAGTTACCTAAACTTCAAGGAACAAAAACAAAAAGTGGAGACTTCCTTACTACAACATTTTTTTCGGGAAAGTCGGCAAAATTAACAAAAACCTAAAATCGTGACAAAGTTGCGGTTTCTTTCTAGCTTTTGTTATTAATAACATAATTTTGGTGTTGAATAATTTTATTTTATGCTCTTTCTTACATCTTAAAATATTTATTGTTGAAAACAATAAAAGTTTTAATTTTGTTTGGTTTTGTGTTAAATTTAAGAAATAAAATCACGAAACGAAATCAATTGTTTTCTGTATTAATAACAATTATATTAAATGTAATATATAAATATCCCGAAACTGGAACCGGAACTTTCCCGAAAAAAATATTGTAGTAAGGAAGTCTCCACTTTTTGTTTTTGTTCCTTGAAGTTTAGGTAAATTAGCTCACCTTTTTCCGATCACTGATTATAAGTCACGTGTACTAAGTGATACAGAATTACCAAAAAAACCAATAAAATTCACATTTTCTTCAAATAACAATAATAATAATTTGTCCACAATAATTACAACAGTGAATAAATATAAAATAAATTAACTGTGACAGTGTCAATTGTTATGTTTTCGGCTTACTCCCGTAACTTTGACGAGGAACTCGACTAGTTTCAAGCCATGCTAGAGGCTCATATTCATGAGTAGCAGCGCGACCCGTGACGCGGCGACCGTCGCTGCTACTGTCGAGTTCCTCGCCAAACACTACGTAAGTAAATCGAAAACATATTAATTAATTTAGTATGCCTCACGATAGTTTTAATATAAACAGTGATAGTGACTACGTGTCGATAAAATCTTATCGATACATCGATATTTTTATCGGTGGAACTTCTGTAGTTTCTCACAGGACGGCGTGCGCAGTTTCTGTGCGTCTGCGTACTGCCTGGAGTCCCCGAAGTTCCTCGCCTTCCACACCATGCTGTCTCTATAGTTTCTCTCTCTCTGACAAGCGTGGCGAAGTCCCACTGTAATAGAAATAACAAGATACTTAGGGGGCGTCCATAAATTACGTCAGATGTTTAAGGGGGGGAGGAGGTAGACTCAAATCTCATCTAATCTTACGTTAGAGAGAGGGGGGGGTCTCGGCAAATACCACGTAATTTTTTTTCTGATTAAAACAAAAAACAAAAACTATTTTAGTCCATTTAATCCAGATTATACATGCTTCAGATTTAATTGTACACGCATTTGTTTTATACGTATAGTATTGTAATGTTACATTTTTATTATAACTATCAGCAATATTGATTACTAGTATTTACTAGTCGTAAACAAAAGCACGAAGCAAATTTTTTTTCGTTTTGCATTAACAATTTAATTTTGAAAAATCTCACGTGAGATGGGGGATGGGGGAGGGTGTTGAATAAAATCTCACCAGGGGGGAGGGAGGGAGAGAAAATGTAAAAAAACACCTCACGTAATTTATGGATGCCCCCTTAGGTATATATAATATAACGACAGGCTTTTACATCATTAGAAATGAACAGCAGTTATGGTCATGCTAAACGTGTATTGTAGGCACATAAATTACCGATTCCATTAAAAAACTCAACCTCAGACTGTTTAAAAGTAATTATATGTATGGTTGAATGAAAATAATGTTTATAGCATTAAGGAATTTTAGGAACATAAATAATAATATAATGGTGTAACCTATAACTACGAGTGTAAGTTCCTTGAAGTGAGAGAGTATAGAGGACCCTCCGACCAGGCGAGGTGATCATACCTGGCGAGCTTTGTGCCCAACAGTTGTTCGTAAGGATTTTCTAGCTATATTAATTCGCATGTAAACTTTGCATGTGCGATGTAGGATTTTTGTGTGACGTCATCCGTTAACATGTGACACGTTTAGTTTGCACTAGCTTTTACCCGCGGCTTCGCTCGCGTCACAAAAGGATAAAAAGTAGCCTATGTGACATATACCAATACACACAGCGCCATCTATACCAATAATTTCGTTTTCCCTCGAGAGTATAAATTTTTCCGGAATAAAAACTACCCTATTATTTAATCCAACTTCTAACTTCACGTCTGCAAAAATTCAAAGCAATCGGTTTAGAAGTTACGGCGTGAAAGTGGAACAAACAAACAAACTCACTTTCCGATTTATAATATTAGTAAGGATGACAGTAAATACGACATATCTAAATGTATGTACGTACCTATATATTCTTCTTCTATAGCCAGCTCGAGTCGCCGCAGTGAGCCCTGGTAGTCAGTGTGGAAGTTTTCTTTAACGTAGTATGGTACCTGGAATTACACGATTATTTGTGAATAAACATTAAAAATATATTTAGTCCGTCAGTTAGATAACGAAAAAAAAATATTAGACAGGTATTTTTTTATTTTGTCGTATAAGAAAACAATACTTCGATATAACGAATCAAAGTTTAGGAGTAGGGGTTAAAACGTCATTTCTACGTATAAAATGTACATAGAAGTGACGTCACGCGATATTTCAAATTAATATATCGTCGAAAGTATTTGTTTCTATGAGAAAATAAAAAATACGTGCGTAATGTTTTAAAATAATCCCCCTCTCCCCAGTCTACCCAATCCCCAACTCGTCCAAAATCCTCAAATTATCAATTCCCAAAAGGCCGGTAACGCACTTGTAACGCCTCTGGTGTTCCAGGTGTCCATCGGCGGCGCCGATTGCTTACCATCAGGTGATCCGTCTGCTCGTTTAAAGTCATTCCTAATCGTACCTTCTGATTAACAGTCTCCCTAGGCACTGGATACTTGGAGCTGGGCGCGAGGCTGTAGACCGGCTCGCTGATGAAGTACCCTGACATCATGCTGAGCAGCACCAGCACCAGCACGGGCAGCAGCTGCACCAGGCCGGCGTGGGCCTCGCGCGTCTCGGGCTGCCGGCCGCGGCGCCGCGTGTATACTGTCGGACCACCGCCCGGGAACGCCGCTACAAGTAATTAAACATTTTTATGTTAGTAAACTTAACAAACATAACATAACATCACGCCTTTTATCCTCAAAGGGGTAGGCAGAGGTGCACATTATACCACTGTACAATGTAACACCCACTTTTCACTATTTATGTTATGAGTCCCATGTAATAGGGGGTGAGCCTATTGCCATATACCGGGCACAGTTCCAGACTCCGTGCTACTACCAAGATTTTTTTAAAATTATTATATTAATTAATTAATTAAAGTTATAATAGACTGCCTCGTTGGCCGAGTGCGAGAGGTCAAGAGGTCTCGGGTTCGATTCCCGGGTCGGGCAAAGTATTATTGGGTTTTTAAAAATCTCAGTAGCAGCACGGAGTCTGGAAATGTGCGCGGTATATGGCAAACGGCTCACCCCCTATTACATTGAGACTCATAACATAAATAGTGAAAAGTGGATGTTACATTGTACAGTGGCATTAAGTGCCGTAATGTGCACCTCTGCCTACCCCTTCGGGGATAAAAGGCGTGATGTTATGTTTTAAGTTATAAATAAAAGGCTTTTTTATTTTTATTATGTTAAACGGTTTCAATGAGCTGTATTCTACCAATCAAGCCGTATCGTTTGATATCCATAATGGAGGTAGTTGTGGAAACAATTAGATTATATTGTATGGTCATCAAGATTAAGAGTGTGTACCAAATATCAGATCGATCTGTCGCCATGAAGGGGGTGACATTACAATTACTACAGACCCAGACAAACACACGGGGCAAGCTAAATGAAACCTTGTAAATACGAGATACATAGGTATAAATAATTATTACATAAACTACGTTTGAAAACCTGCGAAAAACATAAATACAAACATATACATACATGCATACATGTTAAATTGAGAACCTCTTTCTTTTTGTATACATACATAAATCTCGAAAAAGCTTAGCTTATGGATATCAATTAAATGGTTTTTTTTAGTTGGTTTGTTTATTCATATTACAACAATGAGAGAGCGAGTGAATGAGTAGTGTTGCCAGATATAGAGTCAGACGTTTAGACATAGACTATGAAATAGAAAACCACACTCAATATTATAAAATGTCAGTTTTTTTGTTTGGATGTGTGTCCGTCAATCACGCTGAAACTACTGAACGGATTTTGATGAAATTTGGTATACAGGCAGGGTATGAGCTGACTTAGGTGATAGGACTTTTTATCCCAATTAAATGCTCCCATGTTAAAAAACAGGAATCATATTCTACGCGGACGAAGTCGCGGATAACGGCTAGTAGAACTATAAAATAGTCACAAATGAGCATAGACAATACAAAGATTATTATTAATACGGATTTCAGTGTTCCGGTGTGTTCATGGTTGTATCTACTATAGATCCTGGCTTACAGGAGTTGCAGCGGTTTTGGGAGGTTGTGGCGGGCTTGTCCCATAAAAAAAATACAAAGATTATACTGCAAATCATCCAATGTCTCTTCCCACCTGGGTGCTTACTCTTGAAACAAATCTCAATGTCAATGCAATTTTAATCCAATAAAATCTCAATAATTATTCAATGTCAAAACTATACAACCCTTATCGTAGCTGTTACAATAGCATTCAGAGAACGGAATGTAAAGCCATACTCAATACCATTTAGTTTATTAAATATCCACGCAATACGGATACAATGGGCGCTAGTGTCGCAAATCAAGAGTACGAAAATTCACAATACCAATGTCGATCGATCGGAATTGGATTCAAGAGTAAGCCCCCTGGGCGAGGCGGGAGGGAGTGTCAGACTCTTACTGACTAAAAACTACCCCGTTCCTACTCCTGCTCTTCGAGCCGGAGCCCCGGTAACCCGTTAAGTTCTCCGCGGCTCCGTATCGGCATCAGCCCTATTGGGCCCCATCTGTGGTGGTCTGATGGCTCTTTGAGGCACGCACGAGATAAGTACCGTCCTTGATGTCATACTCTTATCCATGGGCCCAAACTTCATTCTCTTATTCACATCACATCACATCATCAGCCTATAAGCGTCCACTGCTGACCAAAAGCCTCTTGTCACATGGATAACGTTTGAGCATTAATCACCACGCTTGCTCAATGCGGATTGGCGATTTCAAACTAATAAGCCCAGGTTTCCTCACGATGTTTTCCTTCACCGTTTGTCAGTGGTGTCTGAATAATCTTAGAAAGTATGTATAACTCGGAAAAAGTCACATTGGTACTTGCTGTTGTAGGTTTCGAACCCGCACCCTCATGCATGAGAAGCGGGCGCCTTAGACCTCCGGGCCACTTATTTGTGGCATCTTCTATCAAGTTTGTCTATTATCAAGGCAATAGACCTCGGATCCACCACGACATTCTTCTATTGTCTATGCTTAATTTTTCATTTCTCTATGCCTAATATTGCATAGTTTATGTCTAATTGTCTATGACTTGATATCTGGCAACACTAGACGCTTATTCACTCTCTCGCTCTTCTTTTGCGCATACGCAACGACGAAAAATGTATTAATGCATACAATATAATAGCTTTCCACTGTCTGTCCATATGTATGCTTAGATCTTTGAAACCACTCAACGGATTTTAATGGGGTATTGGAAAATAGGAAGGATTTTCTGTATATTTATATAATTCAATAACGGTGGCAAAAAAAATACGAAATTTTGGAAATAGTGATTTATTAATAATTATGCTTGTGGAGACCAGAGCAGGAAACTAATCTCAAAGTCAATGTCAATTTCAATCCAATAAAATCTGAATAATAATTCAATGTCAACACTATACAACCACAATCGTAGCTGTTACAATAGCATTCAGAGTACGGAATATAAAGACAAACACAATATCATTTAGTTCATTCAATATCCACGCAATACGGATGCAATGGGCGCTAGTGTTGCGCTTAAGAGTACGACACAATATCAATGTCGATCGATCGGAATTGGATTCAAGAGTAAGCCCCCAGGAGTATGGTGATAGGCCAAAGTTATATTAAGTATTGTGATAGCATGACATTTATGGCCATTAGGTCAGTTTTAACTCTCTCCAGACTACGTTAACCAAATAAAGTCCAGTTTTGACATCTCCAAACGAGTTTCTTACGATCCTAATACACCAGAAAAGTCTCGAACATACTCTAGACCATTTTTGATGCGCCAAGTCTCTGGTACACTCATAAATAGTATTGTAACTAGAACGGCTAAACCAATTATGCTGATAATTTGGTGGGAAGGTAGTTTAGAACCAGGAGACCGACATAGGACTTTTTATCCTGTAACTAACTAATCTTCCGCGGTTTCACCCGCTCTGATCTGCTCCTTTTTTTTTAAAAAAAAAAGTTGCCCCACACTAGGATTATCTCCTGTGTCGTGGGTGCGTTTACAAACATACAAGTTCACATACACATGATACCCAGACCCGAAACAACCATTTTTGGGATCACACAAAGTGTTGTTCCGTGCGGGAATCGAACCCGCGATACGTTGCACGGCAGCCGGTTGCCCAGCCACCGCACCAACCGTGCAGTCAGTATCAGTATTGATCGCAGCGTGATGGTTCATAGCCTATAACCTTCCTTAATAAATGGACTATCCAACACAAAAATAATGATTCAAATCGGACCCGTAGTTCCAGAGATTAGCACCTTCAAACAAGCAAACAAACTTCAGCTTTATAAGATTCGCTGATAATCCGCAACGAGATAACATGGGATTGCGCGCACAAAGCCGCGGGCAGGAGCTTGTATAATTATAGCTATGAAAGGTAATTCAAAAATATTCGTCTTTAACATTAAGAAACAATTTAAAATAGTAATAAAGAAAAAATAATACAGTACCCATACCTGTCGCCCCGAAGAACATGTTAAACAGTTCCTCAGCTGTGAGATCGGATTCGAACCCGCGCGCGTAGTACTGGTGGTGTGTCTGCGGCGCGTGCGCAGCCTCCTCGCCGCGCAGGTCATATTGCTTGCGTTTCTCTGCGTCTGTCAATATGGCGGCCGCGTTGCCTATTGCCTGCAAAATGATGATCATCATCATCATCAGCTTCTACTGCTCCATTGGCCAAGTGGTTCGATTCCCGGGTCGAGCAAAAGTACTGCTGGGTTTTTCTAAAATTCTAATTAGTAGCACGGAGTCTGGTATTGCGCCCGGTATATGGCAATAGGCTCACCCTCTATTACATGGGACTCATAACATAAATAGTGAAAAGAGGGTGTTATATTGTACAGTGACATTAAGTGCTGTAATGTACACCTCTGCCTACACCTTCGAGGATAAAAAATGTCATGTTAGTTTCTGCCCGTGACTTCATATGCAAAATAGACAATATTCTCGTTTTTATTTATTTTATTAGGTTTTTCTGTTCCCGTTGGAATTTAGGTACATCCTCCCTTAGTGTTCCCCTACCCCCCCAAGGAACATACAAATTAAGTTTCAGCTACCTAGGTCCAGTAGTCTCGGCAGACCGTTGTCAGTCAGTCAGTCAGTGTTGCAAGCGTACATAGGCCACGATGACCGCTTACCATCAAATGGGCCGTGTGCTTTTTTGCCACAGCCGTGGTATAAAAAAAAGTCAATCTGCATGATAATCACCAAAGGAGTCTTATAAAACGTACCTTGAATGCTTCAGCAGCTCCTGGAGCGTGATTCTTGTCGGGATGGAGCTGCAGTGCCAACTTCTTGTAGGCTTTCTTTATGTCAGAGTCCGTCGCCTCCTTGGACACACCTGGAAAATATAAAGCAAAGGTTATTACACAAAAATAAGTGTGGGAGAGCCATGCTTCGGCACGAATGGGCCTGCTTGACTGGAGTGCTACCACGGCCGAGCAGAAAACCGACGTGAAACAACGCTTGTGTTTGTTTCTTCGTATGAATGAGGTTACCGGAGGCCCAATTAACCTCTTCCTCAATCTATCCAATCCCTTAATCCCTAATAATACTCAAATTCCTAATCCCCAAAAAGCTGGTAACGCACTTGTAACGCCTCTGGTGTTCCAGATGTCCATAGGCGACGACGATTGCATACCATCAGGTGATCCATGTGCTTTTTAATCAGCTTATCCCATAAAAAATATCACATGTAAGGCAATGTACTGCTGTGTCGGCTCAACCGGAGTGATACCACGGCGTCGTAGTACAATGGCGTGAAACAAAGCTTGCATTATGTGCAGCAGTCATGTGAATGAGGTTACCAGATGCCCCTATGCCCTTGTAACTATGGTAATAGCACTTGTAACGCCTGTGGTGTTCCAGGTGTCCATGGGCGACGCCGATTGCTTACCATTAGATGCTCCGTCTGTTCGTTTACCGATCAATACCATAAAATATAAAATAGAAACACTACAGACAAAATTACAAAGACAAACCCAGGTTGCAGAACTAGTATCATTATTCATTCTGTACGATACTAATATTTTGAATGTGAAGGGGTCTCGGGTTCGATTCCCGGGTCGCTTATTATTACTGTTTATTTTTAAATCCCAGCAGTAGAAGAGATGGAGAGTGACATAGGCTGCTTTTTATCTCTTTCAAACCCACTTCCCTAAACTGTGGGGTGGAAGGCTGTATGGAGCATTCCTCAATTTTCATGGTAGAAAGCTAAAAATTAGTATGCCGACTATTTGTGACTAACAAAAACAAAACCGATTTCAAAAACTAAAGACAAACGAAAAGTAAAAACTAAAAAGGAGAAAAATAACTATTATTGGTCATACGCACTTAAAGCTTACACACCCACTGATAGGTTAGAAGTCGGTGCCACAAACCCACAACAAAATCACTTCTATGTACATTTTATACGTAGAAATGACGTTTTAGCCCCCACTAATAAACTTTGATTCGTTATATCTTACATCATTTTATTATACAACAAAATAAAAAAATACGTGTCTAATATTTTTTCATTACCTAACTGACGGACTAATTAGATTTTTAATTTTCATACCCTGTCATCATCCCCGTCAAAAGAGTTCGAACGAAGCCTCGGGCAAAAGCTAAGTAGTAAGTAGTCAATATTTATTTTAATTTTTTTATTGACGAATGGCGCCACGTCAGTATGAGGATAATATAAAATTGTATGTAGTTATTTTGGCTTAGTCATTCTTAGTATGACGTCTCCTAGATGTAAACTCGCGCAATGGCGGTGTCGCAACTTAACAGCTGTGTAACATCACGCATTCATTAAGTAGTCAACGACAAGGTAGAAGTCTAGCGCCCCAAATTAATAATTGTGCTCGATTCAATATCTTGGCTGTACAGTGTACATACTTCGATAATATGATCTTCGATTGATCCAGACATATGTACATATAACATAACATCACGTTTTTATCCTCGAAGGGATAGGCAGAGGTTTACATTATGCCACTGTACAATGTAACGCCCACTTTTGACTATTTATGTTATGAGTCCCCTGTAATAGGGGGTGAGCCTATTGCCATATACCGGGCACAATTCCAGACACCGTGTTACTACTGTGAATTTTTTAAAAACCCAGTAATGCTTAGTCCGACTCGGGTATCTAACCAGACACCCCTTGCCAGGCAGTCGCACTAGCGAACACTCGGCCAACAAGGCAGTCTATGATCCAGACATTTCGAATTTATATTAGTTATAGATTTCGGCCCTGAAGAATGAAGATGGCCATCTTTATAAATAAAGCATACAAGCAAGTTAAATAAGTTTTAGAACAAAGTAGTTTCTATTACAGAATATTCTATTATTTCGACTACACAAATAGGTTAACAGTAACTTAGAATACTTTGTGTAACTACAAACGAAATTAATGCTAATTCCGGGTCAAAAGTCAGACACTTCAAGCATGTTCATTACTCAACTAGATTTTTTATAACAATACATTTTATATTGGACTGCCTCTTTGAATGAGTCGTAACCGTGGCTGTTAAAGCAAGTGCCTCCACACCTGGGGCCTTACTCTTGAATCCAATTCCGATCGATCAACATAATCTCTCGCAATACTTTAGGCATTCCTATAAAATCTCCTTCCATCCATCCACAAACTGATCACTAATTGGATTGGAACCCGAGAGACCATTGAGGGTGGTCAGGATGCGAAGAATCAGTGCTTTAGCACGTGCTACGGTACGACATGAGAGTACGGCAAACAACCTGTGATTTTTACCCCGGCAAATATTGTCCAGATAACTGATCACATTCTATCAATTGATGAATGCATGCATTGTTTACCAACAATAGGCAGCCTCTAAATGACAAATGCTTGCATCTCGTTTGCAACTTAAGTGTTTTCAACATGTCCCGAAGAAGGCACAGATTGTAGTAAAATGTAGTAAAAAAAATTGGCTATTCTTTAACTGCTTGAATGCCTGTATATGAGACACAATAGAAAATACCTTGCGTCTCGTGTGTATCCACTTTTAGATATACAACAGGTTAGTATATCACAAATCTGGTTGATTGTCTTTGTGTTTCCTTTATTTAAAGTTTTTAATTACGTAAATATTAATTATTTATTTATTTATTAACGCTTCATGCACAAAGTGTACACAAGGTGGACTTAATGTCGCAGGCATTTTCTCCCAGTCTGACCTTTGGGTGATGCAGAGAAGAGTGAATGGTAGGAGCAAGAAGCAAGCAACAATTTAATTGAGAAAATAGAAGATTACACTAACATATTTCAAATATGAACATAAATAAATATATATAATAATAATTTAAATACCTACACACGAATAAGTAATTAGATCACCATTATAACTATTCATGGTAAAATTAGGCCTCCACAATAGTATCTACATAATTATAACTAGTAAATGACATAGTGTATGTTTAATTACTGGATATATGATTTTAATACCATGGTATTTTTTTAATAGTAATTTTATATTTTACAGCCTCCACCTATTCATCCAAGTGTAAATAAGCCCAGATATAAAGAACAGAGGTAAAAATAATTAAACACCACGTACTATAGTCTTATCGCAATAAAAAAACAAACGAAAGTCCTAAAGCCTTGAACAACACTACATTAACGTCTAAGCAAATAATTAGCTTACTTACCCAAGATCTCGTAGAAATCTTTACATTTGTTGACACGACGCACTGCTTCTTGCTGTTCTGGAGTATATTCCCTCTGCGGAGGTTGGTGAGCAGGAGTTTTTCGCCTCCTAACTTCTTCAGTACTTGGGCTCGAAGGTGGAGTCCGTTTCGGAGCTCCTGTCGAAGGCCCAGCGGCCCTAACGCGAGCTAAAAGATCTTTAGCGAGCGGAGTAGGGTATAAACGTTCAGCTTTCAACAAAAACTTCTCGGCTTTCTCAAAGTTACCTCCCGTTAATGCATTTTGAGCAATTGCTATGCATTTCTCTGCCTCGTCCTTGTTCCCATCAAGAGTCATTTTTTCGCTATCCTGGAGCTCTTTGTTGTTATAAATTTATTCTCAACGCGAAGGACACGTCGCAGAATGATATTAGAATCGCGACGCGCAAATTTAATTAGTGGAAATAGAATATAATTGCGTTTATTTCACTACATTTATGTGCATTAATGGTGTAGAATTGCGTCAATCAAAATACTGAAGAGATGCCAACATAATGAAATTATTTCCGCATTTAGGGTTGGTCCATAAAAATTGGTAGTTTTTCACGATACATGACAAAGATTTACATGAGTACATGAGTTATTTTAGCAAATAATGCAGAATAAATTAAATGAATACATGCATGAGTAGAAAAATATACGTAAAAATTAAATAATAAACCGAAAGATTATTATCCATGAAATTATAAAATTATCATGTGGTAGAATTATAGACTTTTATACTTTTTATTGCTAAAAGCCTAGTAGCTAAAGTTTGGAAACTCTATCACGTTTGACGTACCTATGAATAAATGTGTTTCAGTTCTTGAGATAATAATAACAATAGCATTTTTTCTTCTCACTTGCTCTGTAGAATTTAGAATTGCCATCTCTCTCACACTACAGATTCAATATAGATACATCACACCAGGGATTAATGATCCAATAGGGTTGGCGAAGTAAATCGGAAACTTATTAAGTTATTGGTAATTTAACGGAAGACAAAGTTATCAGTTACAAATCCGTCCCGGTTCATTTTAAAGTTATAATTATTCTTGAAAGTTTGAATCAAGGAACGAAAAAAAAAAAAAAACTGCGTTTAAAAACCGACTTCAAAAAACCAAAAACTAATAACAAACAAAAAGTCAAAACTAAAAAGCAAAAAATTACTATTAGTAGTACTGATAGGTTACCCACCGACTGATTGGTTAGAAATATTTTATAATTTTCAGTGTAAAGCTACATAAATCCGTTTTCTCACTTATAATCTACATAGGTGCAAAGTTCCAATCAATACAAATTATACAAGCCCAAACACAAGGTAATTACTACAAACCGTTGAAAAGTTCCCATAACAATTACATCATTGACTGCCTCGTTGGCCGAGTGGTCGCAAGTGCGACTGCCGGGCAAGGGGTCTCGGGTTCGATTCCCGGGTCGGGCAAAGTATTACTGGGTTTTTAAAAAAAATCTCAGTAGTAACACACTCACCCCTAATACATGGGACTCATAACATAAATAGTGAAAAGTGGGTGTTACATTGTACAGTGGCATTAAGTGCCGAAATGTGCATCTCTGCCTACCCTTCGGGGATAAAAAGGCTTGATGTTATGTTATGTTATCAATTACGCCAATTACGCTTCTTCATCATCAGACCCTTAATGACAGTCCCACTCGAGTTAGGTGTAAAGTTCTCATCAATACAAATTAATCAAGCCTAAACACAAGGTAGTTACTGTATACCGTTGAGGAGTTCCCTTAACAATTACACTACTTCATCATCAGACCCTTAATGACAGTCCCACTCTATCTAGGTGTAAAGTCCTCATCAATATAAATTAATCAAGTCCAAACATAAGGTAGTTAAAACCTTTGAGGAGTTCTGTCGACTGTCTATCGGCTCCATCAGGTCGACCCCAGACCCTTATCAAATTATAGTGTTTAAAAATCCTAATTGAAAATATAATAATCGCATAACTCGCACCTACAATTTTCGAAAGTTCCCCTTGGTTTCCCTAGGATTCCATCATCTGATCCTGACTTCATGGATATTGGGACCATCTCGGGAGTATACTCTTTCAAAGAAAACAAGAATTTTGGAAATCTGTTCACAAATGGCGGAGTAATTCGTGAAACAATCAGCCGACCATAGTTCCTCCTCCTTTTGTGAAGTCAGTAATAATCCAATGCACTCTTAGATTATTGATTGTTTTATAGAAAATACTCCCGGATGAATTGATAAATAAAGAAATGTAAGACTTAAATAATGTTTTCAGGCGAATCCGTACCTTTAAATAACACTGATACGTTACCGTTGAAAATATCAAGATAAGAAGTTTTTTTTTTGGTATTTGGTTGGCATTTGCCCATTAACTCTCTCCACTGGATATGTATCTATTTTCTAAGGGTTGTAAGTGATGATGATGATGCCGGTTATGATGATTAAATATAAATAAATGTTTGAGTCTTGCCACGAACCGCAATAATAACATTGTAAGCTTTGTATTTCAATGATTTATGATCTTTACTAGACGCTGTTATTTTTACTTACTCAAGTTAAATCGTTATTCGTTGTTTAACTGTTTAACGGACTACTGCCTGCCCATCCCTCAGCCTTGATCTGCCGTCATATGACGTATGACGCATTCAAAAGAATTGATTCAATTGTAGACATGCGCAAAACAGTACGTCAAATAGTAATGCAACATCACGCATCTCTTCCACGGAAGTGATATTACTCCGTAACATCACACATTACCCGATCGATTTTTATTGAAATGATGACCGAGTAATGTTTAAGGTGATATGTGAAGTATTACAGATCATATTGAAAAGTAGCAATAATAACTGCAATAGTTATTACATATCGTAAAATTACAATTTAAGTAAATATTAAAAAAATGTAGTTGATTTTCCTTCATACTAGCGTGAAACATTATAAACCTACTTACTGAAGTACTTACCTACTCTATTTTTGAGATAAAACATTAATTTCGATAGAGATATAAGTACCTATAATGTTTTACATTTTTAAGAAACAAATTAAAACAAAGCAAAAAAGCGGCAATTTCATAGTAGGTAGCTCTGTGGTAAAGACCTATTAATATTAGTACCTACTTACTTAAATATTTATTTACAAAACACAAAAACTTTGTTAGCACTGGTTAGCACACACTACGGAAAGAACACGCACGCTTCGAACTAAACAAAAATCTATATATTATCTAAACTAATTTCTAATTACAAGCAATGTAACCTACTCCGCCCGGTAACAAACTTGGCGACATAAAAAATCAAAACATTTGAATACTAGGTACTTGCATAGCACGTGTCACCATTCTCTGTCTCTTTTTCGCGATATGCGCGGCCGGCAAAATTTTACATCGGCTGCGCGCGGTGGGCGCTCGTGCTTACGAACTAAAACGACGCTTACCGAACGTTGCCGAAGTGATGAGTGATGCGAGTGATGTTTGTAACTGATGCGTAATGCGTGATGTTGCATTACGTGTCAAAGTGATATTACTTTTGTACTATTACACGCATTACCTACCCATGTCTATTCAATTGAATCGTGTAATATTATTGCGCTAGGCTAGGCGTATCCGCTTAGTGTATAAGTGTAATCCGCCCAAAAGCGTTGTGTTAGCTTTGTAAAATCAGTTTCTGGATTTGCCGCCGCAAATAACACATAATAAAAGATGGCTGCTCCACCAATCTACAATCCCGTAAGTTTTTTTGCTTTAATCTATGTTGTTACGAAAGATGCCATTATAATGCGGCATTTCGTACATTTTCAAGGGTATTCGGGACAATTCGGTGCGCTTAGTTACGAGAAGTAGTGTAGTGTGTAAATACAATGATAAAATGAAACGAAGTTAGCATACACCTTTTACGGTGATAAAAATTAGTATTCGTTGGTATTTTGTCGTTCCCAAGGTCCTTGCATAATGCGGCGACAATAATTCTCGTTATTCTCGTATAATAACGTATTTTCCTCATTTCTCAAGGCGTTACCTAGAAAATTACGAACTCTATGAGCGAAAGAGTTAGTTGTCGCGAAAATTTGCGTTAGTGAAGCTATTTTTAATCTAAAACGTTTATAATTCACCTATTTATATTCTTATCCTACGCTTGAGTACATTCTTACATGCGAAAGCTAAAAACCGTTACAATAAATGCTAAATTAGCATATTTAAAACAAGAAGGTTTAAAAAGAAAATTTAATATGGGTAGCATTCTGATCAAGAATTCCAAAAATACTATTGTCTAGATAACTATAGACATTCCAAGCCACAAACAGCACAGATCTCATTGAAATGGACATAGGTACTTGATTACATCATAATAGAAAAACATTGGAATCTTGTCTATTCTAGCTTGAATTTGATTTATGAACATTTATGGACATTAGCTTTAATTTAAGACAATATTTTCTGTGCTTTTTTTATTAGGGTATCACATTTGAAACATTTATTTTGTACTAGCTTCTACCAGCACTACATCCACATTCCTCTGGGATACTCTACCCCTGTTCCAAATTTCATCTCGATCCCTTCAGTAATTTTGACCTGATTGAGTAACAAACATATATATAAACTTACAGGATCTCCCATTTTATAATATCAGTGACATCTTAGAGAGACAACCATAATTATAATAATCAGTTATAGATATTTCAAAAAATATTATTTTAAACTGTCAAACATTGAGCAGTCACCGGTGACCGCAACCTATTGTTCTTTAATTGTGTCTATAATGATGGTACTCAAAGAGTTAATGTAATATTTCACCTCCTACTAATTTTAATAAGAAAGTTTAGGTCCACATTTATTTTAGTTCACCCGACAAAGGCTATAGGATATATAACATCACGGTAGGTATAACTTTATAGGAGCCGAGCAGTAGGTGAAACCGCTTGGAAGTTGCTATTTTTTGTTTTTATGGGATAAGCTGTTAAACAAGCAGTCGGACCCAACAATACTTCGAACACCAGAGGCGTTACAAGTGCATTACCTCAAATTCCTAATCTTTTGGGATTAAGAATTTGAGGATTGTTTGGGATTCAGGGATTGGGGAAGGGAGGGGGTGATAATTGGGCCTCCGGTAATATCACATGACGAAACATAACGCAAGCATTGTTTCACGTCGATCTTCTGCTTGAAGAGTTCCTTTTCTTTTTTATCTTTTAAAAACGTTGGCCCACTCTAGGATTATTTCCTGTGTCATGTGTGCGTTTACAAACATACAAGTTCACATACACATGACACCTAGATCCGAAACAACAATTTGTGGATCACACAAAGTATTGTTCCGTGCGGGAATCGAACCCGCAACACGTTGCACGGCAGCCGGTTGCCCAGCCACCGCATTAACCCTACAGTCTGTTTGAATGCGCTGATCTCCTGAACTACTGGTCCAATTTCAATGTTTATTTACTGTTGTATTGTGGACTAGCTTTTACCCGCGGCTTCGCTCGCGTCACAAAAGGATAAAAAGCCAATGTGACATATACCAATACACACAGCGCCATCTATACCAATACTTTTGTTTTTACTCGGGAATATCAAATTTTTCCGGGATAAAAAGTACCCTATTATTTAATCCGGAGTTCTAACTATACATCTGCAAAAAATCAAAGCAATCGGTTTAGTAGTTACGGCGTTAAAGCGGAACAAACAAACAAACAAACTCACTTTCCGTTTTATAATACATATAGGTAAGTAAGGATTGGAGCCGAGCAGAGGGTGATTCCGCGGGACTAGCTTGTGTATTATGTAATACGATCCACATCACTGTTGTCCAACTAAATAATATATTATTCAATGATTCAAACACATGTGTACACACATCCATACATATTTCTTTACATACATATACTAGTATGAGTCACTGCATACATACTTTGGCTATTTATAATTTGTGACGATACACAAATATTGAAAGCGGTTGCCGTTTAAATGAATTTTTTAATTTCAATCGAATTATGTGTATTTATCATGTTTTCGGCTTACTCACGTAGCTGTTTGACGAGGAACTCGACAGTAGCAGCGACAGTAGCCGCGTCGCAGGTCGCGGAATGTTGCTCATGAATATGAGCCTCTAGCATGGCTTGAAACTAGTCGAGTTCCTCGTCAAACAGTTACGTGAGTAAGCCGAAAACATAATAAACTTTCAAACCCGGCGAAATCCGTTTCGCCACCTGATGGCTTTGTTTTATGTAACAACTAGCTTTTACCCGCGGCTTCGCTCGCGTCACAAAAGGATAAAAGTAGTCTATGTGACTATCCATCCGTCATACCTTCAGTTAAAAATCACGCTAATTAGTACCTCCATTCTGCCGTTTAAGACAGGCAAACCAACAAATAGCTTTCCGCTCGCGTGGAATACGGTTATTAGGTAATTCGTTGACTGGTTTTAAATGGCATACAACGCCATCTATACCAGTACATACAGCGCCATCTATACCAATATTTTTGTTTTTCCTAGGAAATATCATTTTTTCCGGGTTAAAAAGTACCCTATTATTTAATCCAGACTTCTAACTTTACGTCTGCAAAATTTCAAAGCAATCGGTCTTGTAGTTACGGCGTGAAGGCGGAACAAACAAACAAACAAACAAACTCACTTTCCGATTTATAATATTAGTAAGGAAGTAAGGATTAGTAAGGATTCGTTTGGTGATTAGTGAATTTTCTTTGCTATAAACCTCACGGAACCCGAGACCTTTCCAACGAATGCAAAACCATTTTCCAATATGGGAATTAAATAACCTTTTAGAGTCATTCATACCGAGATAATATTTGACGTCATAGGTTTAATATGAATGACTATGTTACATATTATTATATAGTTTTATCCTCAAGGTATTTCCAAAAGGACAAATAATATATGACACGAACTTATTTGTGTATGAAATTACCTGTGTGTAACAGAAGTCTGTTATTTCTTAATAATTATATAATTGCTAGCTTCTGCCGCCGGCTTCGCCCGCGTTTCCGTGGTATAAAAATTAGCTTTTGTGTCATTTCAGACCATAATGTCCCCTGTTCCAAATTCCATTCTAATTAACTAGCTACTTTCGCGTTGTTTTACCCGCTCTGCTCGGCTCCTATTGGTCGTAGCGTGTTGTTTTATACCCTATAGCCTACCTCGATAAATGAACTTTACAAGGAAGAATTTTTTTAATTGGTCCTGTAGTTCTTGAGATTAGCTTGTTCAAACAAACAAACGCTTCAGTTTTATATAATGGTACTAGCGACCCGCCCCGGTTTCGCACCGGTTTAATATGCATGTATTAGGTATACATATAAACCGTCCTTAAGAATCACTCTATCTATTTAAAAAAACCGCATCAAAATACGTTGCGTACCTACAGACGGCGGATAGCGACTTTGTTTTATACTATGTAGTGCTAAGATAAGATTACATAGTTTAAAATAATGTGCCCGGTATATGGCAATAGGCTCACCCCCTATTACATGGGACTCATAATATAAATAGTGAAGTGGGTGTTACATTGTACAGTGGCATTAAGTGCCGTAATGTGCACCTCTGCCTATGTTGTTATGTTATGTTTAGTTTTAAATAAAAAAAAAATGCTGCTGAGTTCATCTTTCGACATCAACAAGAATATACTGCTCAGGGTTCCAGCTTTACATCTGTCATCCAGATTTTTCACAAAATTACTGCTATATTCATATTTTTCTCTTTTCAGGTCATACCATGCGTCCACCCCATCCCCGCTGGCATGTACCCTGGCCGCATGATCAGGGTGCAAGGCAGCACTCCTCCTGGCGCACAGAGGTGAGTCCACATACATAACTTATTCTCTAAAGATGAAATATAAAAGAAGAAAGAAAGAACCAGAAGCCCAATTACCCTCCTCCTCAATCCCCGAATCCCCAACAATTCCTAGTCCCCAAAAAGCCGGTATTAATTTGTAACACTTCTGGGGGCTTACTCTTGAATCCAATTCCGATCGATCGACATTGGTATTGTGAAATTTCGTACTCTTGAGTTGCAATACTAGAGCCCATTGCATCCGTATTGCGTAGATATTGAATGAACTAAATGGTATTGAGTTTGTCTTTATATTCCGTACTCTGAATGCTATTGTAACAGCTAAGATTGTGGTTGTATAGTGTTGACATTTAATAATTATTGAGATCATATTGGATTGAAATTGCATTGACATTGAGATTGGTTTCAAGAGTAAGCGCCCTGGTGTTTCGAGTGTCCATGGGCGGCACCGATTGCTTACCATCAGGTGATCCGTCTGCTCGTTTACCGGCTTATCCCTTAAAAAAAAGAATAGTTTCTTTTTCACAAGAAAATTACAAATAAGAAACAAATACAAGTCGCCATCGTGGTGCGAAATGCCATCAGACCATCACGGATGGGGCCCAATAGGGCTGATGCCGATATGGAGCCGCGGAGGCCTTAACAGGTTGCCGGGGCTCCGGCTCGAAGGCAGGAGTAGGAACGGGGTGGTTTTTAGTCAGTACCTAAGAGTCTGACATTCCCTCCCGCCTCACCCAGGCGGGAGCAGTCATTCGATGATTTTCACCCCTTAAAGAAAAATTTTGGTGCAAAATGGCCACTGTTCAGCCGTTGCCCGGACACGATGGTCCTAGTCACGGCGCTTATTTTACGCACTAGTCAAATGGCCTCCTGTCCTCAAAGAGGAAGGAGTGAAAGAGTCTAACACTCATCTCCACCGTCACTACCAAGTCATTGGATGATCTTGAAACAACAACATATATATATTTTTAGGACTTACGTATCTCGTTTACTATTCGAATCTACATTTTGGAATACGCACCTAGTTTCACTGACTAACAGATTGACAGACATTATGTATTTGTTGACGTTTCAAAAGAACCAAATTATGGCTTAATTAAACAAATGAATTTGATTTTTGATTTTTTGAATTTCCTCCCTTTTATAACAGTCTTTGGAAAGAGGAGGAAGGGGGTCTTGTAGTCCAGAAGTGGATTGTCACTTTCTGATGACGATGATGATGATGATCAGAATCGTAGTATCCGTAAGGTAAAGCAGATGATAGGCTAGGGCGCCAGGTTACAGAGGGGAGCCGCGAGACGCTCAGGCCCAACTGCACATAGATTGACGGCGGCAAAAAAATTACTGGCGCCTATGAGGTGGTTGCCTTGGGCGTCTCTGATGATGACCAATTTGTCCATAGGTTCGCAATCAACTTCCAATGCGGTCCCAACACGGATCCTCGCGATGACATCGCCCTCCATCTCAACTTCCGATTCGTGGAGATGTGCGTCGTCCGTAACCATCTCACAGCTATGAACTGGGGAGTTGAAGAGACCAATGGAGGCATGCCGCTCAGCAGGGGAGACTCTTTCGAAGCTCTTATTCTGTGTGAACCTCAGTCTTTGAAGGTAAGTGTTATCTCTTCTCGATGGCTTGCTTCATTTCTGAAGGTCGTGCCCCTGAAAGGCCTACATTGCTCTCTGTGTTATTTTTCTCCATCTTGTCCTGATTTCGGCTTCTCTCAGGGCGTTTGTAACAGAGAGTCCAGTGTAGTTGGTAACTTGGTCACACCATCGGCTAGGTGATCGGCCACGTGGTCTCTTTCCTTCCACCTTACCAACAACAACCAATTTGTCGAGGTTATCTGACTGGCGGCGGGCAATGTGACCGAAATATCCAAGAATTCGCTGGTAACATACGGTCGACAGTCTAGTCTTATATTGAGCTGTTCTAGGATTGACCTATTTGTTCGTCTGGCAGTCCATGGTATCCGGAACATTCTTCGCCAACACCACATTTCGAGAGCATCTATCTTTTTGCGATCTAAAGCTCTAATAGTCCACAACTCTGCACCATAGAGGAAGATAGGGAAGACCAATGTCTGAACTAGTCTCTTTTTGGTGATGTTGGAGATGTTTCTGTTTTGCCATACACATGTCATTTTGCTCATTGCTGCTATAATTTTCATTAATACAACCGGCCTCCCTCTTTTTTTTGAAGTCGGTTGATATAATAATGTTAAAATCTGCTCTTAAAGTACCAATTAATTCCACGAATTCTCCCTTTAGGTGGCAGTGAACGGAGTCCATTTCTGCGAGTTTCCCCACCGCATCCCGTTCCAGAGGATCTCTCACCTCACTGTGGACGGTGACGTCATGATCCAGCTGATCGCCTTCGAAGGTGCCCAGCCACCGCAGCAGATGTACATGGTAAGCTACAGACCAAGAGAAATCCTTCATATAGAACTGACCTGGATATCATTTTTTTTATTTGGCACTTATCGAGATAGCTGAAAAATACGTATGAAGATTTAAAAACAGTACCTTCATTTCTTGATACTTAAATATTTTTTTGTAGTTGTGCCATGGGCGGCGCTTTAAACATCAGGTGATCCGTCTGCTCGTTTGCCGACCTATAACTATAAAAACCCAGATTTAGCATAGGTATACCACCTGCAGAATAATGTGTCTCTGGCACCCTCGAGCCACGTGTGAGATGGGACACCGGGGTGGGTTTTTTGTCAGTAAGAGTCTGACAGTCCCTATTGTCGTCCCCGGGCGAGGGGGCTCTATGAAGATTTCCCAAAAATAGATATTTACCACCATATTCGGATTACATTGGGGATTTTGGGATTGCAGACTTGGAAATAACAGTAATCACAATAAAGTAAGTTTAGATTTTTACACAAATTTGTACATGTTTCAGTCTGGACCGCCTGCGTACGGCGCGTACGGCGCTCCACCCCCGGCGTACGGAGCCCCCGGCTACGGCGGAGCACCACAAGGTAAGCCCCCACTTACATATATCTTAGATATTTTAGTATTGGGAGCTTCGCATAGGCATATTATTCGTTACGGGTATAATAATAACCAGATACTACTAAACAAATATCTGTATATATAAATAAAATTGGATATATATAAAAAGGCATGTATATGGTCAAATTGAGAACCTGCTTTTTTGAAGTAGGTTAAGTATAACCGCTTTTTACTACATGCAAATGTGTAAACATACGATACACATACCAAAATGTGTATCATTTTTTATTACAATAATTGTTTGTCTGTTTGTATTGGTTAATCTCTGGAATGGCTGGACTGAATCTGACGGGACTCTGACGTGATTGAGTATCGAACATACACTGTATTAATTGTTTCTTTTCGAAACAAGTGGTGAATAAAGAAAATTTGTCATAGTAGTATTTGGTTGTTCTCTGGGTACTTAGTGTTAAATATATATATGACATATAAAAAATACTATTTATTGTTAAATAGGTGTCACATTTGATACGTCTGTATAGTCTGTCGGGGCTTAGAAGGCGTTATGTTATATATAAGCTTTATAATGCTGGATATATTTCTGTAACCATTTTATTTATATTTAATGAACTAACTATATAGGCTTTCGTCCTAATTTTTGCATGTTATGCATGCTTTGTATCCGTGGTATGTAGGGTGAGTTCGCCTGTCCGCGTCCATCCACCAGCCAGAGGGTTTGGTACGAGATTGTTATGTATACAGTGATCGAAGCGAGCCGATGGTTCATTGGAGCCGGCCAATCAGAGCGTCATACGAGGTCTCGTTTAGATTATTTTAAACGTAAAATAAACTCGGTTGCCGTCCATGTTACGGAACATACTTAAAAAAAATGCTGAAAATAAGAAAACTATCTCGATAGACTGCCTCGTTGGTCGAGTGGTCGCAATTGCGACTGCCGAGCAAGGGGTCTCGGGTTCGATTCCCGGGTCGGGCAAAATATTACTGGGCTTTTTCAAAAAAATCTCAGTAGTAGCACGAAGTCTGGAATTGTGCCCGGTATACGGCAATAGGCTCACCCCCTATCACATGGGACCCATAACATAAATAGTGAAAAGTAAGTGTTACATTGTACAGTGGCAGTAAGTGCCGTAATGTACACCTCTGCCTACCCCTTCGGGAATAAAAGGCGTGATGTTATGTATGTTGTATCTCGATTATTATATTAGTAGAATTTCGTACACATCTGTTTGACCTTTTCAAGTTATAAGTATCTTACATTCATGGCGATCCGTAAAATGGTCGCGAACCGGTAGGTGTACACGAACAGGCTAACGGACGTTGGACGCGAAAAGGCGACTTACCCTAAAAAAGTGGTAGTTTCTTAAATATTATTTCAATGTCCGTCTGGTAGATTATTTTAAAACATTACACACGTATTTTTTATTTTCTTACGAAAACAAATACTTTCGACGATATATTGATTTGAAATGTCGCGTGACGTCACTTCTATGTACGTTTTATACGTAGAAATGACATAGTTAGCTCCCACTCCTAAACTTTGATGCTATTTATCTAAGTATTGTTTTCCTATACGACAAAATAAATAAATACGTGTCTAATATTTTTTCATTATCTAACTGACGGACTAATTAGATTTTTAATTTTCATATACTGTCAACTTCTTTTTAATATACTTTATTTTGTAGCTGTATATATGAACGTCTCTATGTATATAAGAATAATATATAGATGTACAATATGTCAGGATATATAAAAAACTTTTTTTTTCATATTTTTATCACAAATCAAAGTCAAAATCATTTGTTTCAATTAGACCAGGAAGGTACTTTTGAAATTCAAAACAAAATATTAAAATATTAGAAAAAATATCAGTCTATCGATCAGTCCTCTAGTTGCTTTATTTGATCGTTCCAAAGTAAAGATTCCTATGGAGAAGAACGAGCAAGAAACTCCATAGGTTACTCTTTTACAATCGGTTTCACAATACAATTCTTGGTTACATTGTTTCGTTGATTCAAATATGTGGGAACAATGTAATACCAATATTTAGTCAAGGAGAAAGGAAAAGAAAATAACCTTGAGGAAACCAAACACACACAGTACAGTCTGGATAATTTTAATAGGAGTATAATGATAATAGTCTACGAATCAGTACCATAGTGAAGCTATTTGCTCGTTCTAAAGTATAGTATCTAAAATTCAGGTATAATAAGACCTTTTTGAGCAACTATTTTCTATAAGTCCTTTTTTAAACTAACAAATGAATTTAAGCGACATTTTTTTTAAACATAACGCGAGTGATTATTTTGTATTTTGTACTAATATCGATAAAAAGGTAAGTACCTACTACCTTTCTTGTGAATACATTTATTTTTCTTTAATTTTAGTTGAGTGAATCGTTTTAGGTATATATTATTTATACATATATATCTACATATATATATTTAGTATGTTATTTGGATGTGTTTGTGGCTAGCTAAATGTGTGGGATAGCGTAGCTATAATGTGTGCGTAAGCGTTTTATGTTGTGTTTAATTATATGGAATATAGTGGCAATACAAATATGTTTTTATGGTAATTATTTAGAATCGGTGTATTGAAAAAGGCGTATAAAATAATAAATACAGAAAAGATCTGTGCTGATTAGATAAAAAAAATAAAGAGGGTATTTTTTTGTTACATATTGGTTACTAGCGACCCGCCCCGGCTTCGCACTGGTGCAATAATAATAATAAATAATAAGCCCGCAGGGCACCTTGAGGCGAGTTGACGGGCATTAGCGATCCCGCGGGCTACCATCATCCCGAGTGCTCCAGGGAGAAGTCACCGTTCCTTCTTCTCCGGCTTGCCTTAATTGGCTGGCTAGAGTGAACGATGACAAGGAACAGGTCTCCCACCTCTGGCTTGCCTTCATTGGCCGTCCAGAGTGGAGTCGCGAGAGCAGTGATCCTGCTCGGAGGGTAAGAAACTATTCGTAAGTCGCGAGTGGGCCAGGGATGCAGGAAGCTTCGGCTGGAGCAGATGATCTGAGTAGAAAGCGGTGGTAGTTTCTTAACCCTTCAGCCACTCACATTCTCGTTGCCCCTCTGTTGCTATATCTAGCAGCCATTCCCGGGGCCCGGTCGGTGAGTTGGCGAGTCTCCGCCTGCCATTTTTACGTGTAATAATTACATTGTTTCGGCAGGTGCCATAGTCATCCATAGTTCCCAATTTTCCAGTCCACAGCAACCCATCCATAGCCCTATCTTTTTTTTCCATTATCCTCAATAGTTTTACACTAACCGGAGACTGTCCTTGGGTGCATTTCCATAGTGCATACAGGGACAGTCGCCGGTTTGTGTGTCCATTACATTTATATTAAAGTTGTCTAAAGGGCCTCTGCGCAGTTGGCTTCGGCCCCTCGCATGCCTCCCAAATGACCGGGACCCTGTGGTCCCGTGAATGGTAAAGATAAATAATAATAATATATATATGCAATATGCATGTATTATACATATAAACCTACCTTAACACGTTCGAGGACGCTACCACTTGAGTCGGGTTTTCAAAATGACACAGTACATGTCTATACAAAATTATACGACGTATCAGTACGTAGTGTCCCATGAAGAAATATCGTTTTAAACATATCATGACACAATCGTTTTATCACGTCAACGTGTATATGCATCTAGGTAAGGATCCGCCTCGTTGGAGATGTCGGAATCATCAAACATGCTTATCTTGTGTCTTATTTTGCGCTTATATCCATCTAAAACACACAATAACCCATTAAACATCAATTTCACACTGTAAAATCATTAATTTGCATTAAAGTAATGTACACAGTGACACAGCCGCGCTGAATGTAGGAGCGCGGGACGTATAAACACGTTGTGCGTTTGTGAATACCGTAACCGCACACTATCAACGACACTTATTTTAAATAGTTCTAAACTTACCCTACGTGACAGTACAGAGTTGGGTATTTTATATGTTGTGACACAAGATACATTTAAAAGGATTTTTACTTGAACTTTCATCGGAAATGAACGTTCTGCCGTATAATTTAAATGTTATTTGAACGTCATCGTACGTTGTGCGATATTAAAATCTCGAACGATGACGTATAATCTCGTTCTGTCCTCGAACGTGTTAAGAATCACTCGATTTAAAAAAAACCGCATCAAAATCCGTTGCGTAGTTTTAAAGATCTAAGCATATATAGCATATATGTTTTATACTATGTAGTGATGTCGGTGTACGAGCAGACGGATCAACTGTTGGTACCGATTGATATGGCGTCATCCAATGTACACCCGAAACACTAGAGGCGTGACACATGCGTTATCGGCCTTTTGGGGATTAGTAATTTGAGGATTTTTGGGGAGTCAGGGATTGGGGAGATTTGGAAGGGGGGGACTCACTGACACGACGAAACAAGGCAAGCGTCGTTTCACGTCGGTTTTCTGTGAGGCCGTGGTATCACTCGAACCAGCCTATCCGTGCTGAAGGATATTCGAGCTCAACCCACCCCTACCACAGTCTCCCTAATCCCTGAATCCCAACGATCGTCAAATTCCTAATCCTCAAAAGGCCGGTAACGCCCTTGTAACTCCGCTAGTGTTCCGGGTGTCCATGGGCGGCGCTGATTGCTTACCATCAGGTGATCCGACTGCTCGTTTACCGGCTTATCCCATAAAAAATGTGCAAGCACCTAAACTAATTCATTATTTGTATGTTAGGTGGCACTTTAGGTAAAATAAAAATGTCGTTAAATTTCACCTGTCTAAGCTGAGGGGTTCCTTTAAAAGGAGAAGTTGCTAATAACGGATATTAGAAAAACATTAAAACGTTTGGTAATATTAATGTATTTGTATTGTTACAAATAGTGTATTTACCTTGCTTAATTAATATAATCCATTTCTATTAGATTTTTATTAAAATTGACTACTTTTCCAACCTAAAATGTTATTATTAATAATACTAATATATATACACATATATATTCGATCTATCTATTTAC